TCCCCAACTCTTTTATCCTTGCCTCTTCATTCAACATGCTATCCTTGACAATGTCCATCGTCAACTTGCCATTAGGTGCTGAGTTGCTAAGTGAGACCACCAAAGTCTCCCAACTATCCGGCAAAGAACTGAGAAGTAACAATGCTTGCACTTCATCATCAAGTGCTAACTTCATAGTAGTTAGCTGGTTCACAAGCCCTTGAAAGTCACTCAAATCTCCGAGACACTATGCCCATCCTTGTACTTCAAGTTCACAATTCTTCGAATGAGTGAGGTTTTATTTTTAGCTGATTGCCTCTCTTACATGGACTCCAATTTCTGCCACAATTCATCTGCTCTTGTATCTTTTGCAACATGATAAAAGATGCTTTGGTCAATCCATTGTCGAATAATTGCCACCGCCTTTCTATGCAAGACCTCCCATTGCTTCTCGGTCTTGTCTTCCGGCTTCTCGCTGCCATTTTCAATTGGCTCATAGAGATTTTTGCAAAACAGAATATCCTTCATCTGTGGCTTCCAAATAGAGTAGTTGGATGATGTAAACTTAATCATTGCTCCACTTGAGTCATCCATTCTTGCCATTCACCAATCACAACCCCCAAACAACCAGGCTCTGATACCATTGTTGAGAAACCGGGCAGCAACCACAAGAAAGAATAGAATGCACAAGACACACGATTTTTACGTGGAAAACCCAAATCGGAAAAAACCACGGGACCTTTGTCCAAGCCACAACTCCACTAGACTTTGGTGGGATTACAAGTCCTCTCTAGACTAGCTAGAGGATTACAAACGCCTCAAAAACACCCTTCTTGGATCAACAATCAACCACAATAGATCTCACCAACATGGTGGATAAAAAGAGCAAGACAAAGAAAGGTTGAGAGGTACCAAAAACAGATTCTTACACCTTCTGTCCAGCAGCTATTACCGACGAACTAGGCCTTAGATTGACGATCCCTCCGGTCAGAATGAAGCCCAGAAAATTTCAAACCAACTGCTCAAATTTCAGGACGATCCAACGGTTCAATCTTCAAGAACGCTCACTTGAACAGGTTGCCCTGCTGCAGAAACGAAAAACAACAACTCTATCTCTCTTCTCTCTTTTTCCTTATCTCTTCTCTTTTCTAATTCTCTCTCTAAAAAATGAAAGGCTGTCACCTCTTTTTACTTTTGAGTAGACAATAACTCTCTATTTTGAAAATAGAGTATCTTCTAGAAACCAACCAAAACTCAAACTCAAACCGGTTAATCCAACCACCATATGAGTTGGACCAACCCAACATGGCGACCGCCAATTTATATCATTGTTCCTGATTTGGAAGCCTTACTGTTCTAGTTCGCCTTTTCAAAGGTTTCGTAACGGAATCCCTGGCTTGTTTTACCAGTGACTTGAAATTTAACCTGATCGTGTCTTCGCTTCTGTCAGATTTCATTTGTTTTTTTATGGAAGGCCAATCCTCTAATCTTCCATGGCGAAGACATACTCCGCATACAACCCTTAGAAGCCTGATTGTTTCTCTAGCGCCCCAACGACGATTAATTTTGAGTCCCTTATGCTGATCGACATTGAAGTTCTTCAAGGCCTTGTTGTTTCTATCAGGACCAGCATTAGCATCATTCATGGGGAACAAATCAGATATACCTTTCTGCTTAGCAGGGCTTCCCCCACCAACTTCGCCAATCCGAGCCACATTTTTTTATCAATTTCACTATTTTTTTCCCAATCCTCCTGATAGCATGATAGAAACTTGTATTTTAGTACTTAAATAATTTGTCGGTTTATTGTTATTTGGATTATTGGGACTATTCGGGGATAATTGATAGATCGGGTATTGGTAGGAAATAAGTCATTTTTATATAAACTACTTGGACGTGAGATTTATGGTGGAAGCAAGATTAAACCTAAGCCTAATCTCCCAAATTCCCACTCCTTTTCTCTCTGGCTGCCGAGCCACCTTTCCCTCTCTTCCCTTCGGCTGCCGCAGGCAGCACTCTTCCCTTCCCCTCTTCTTTCTCGATCACCCTATTCTATTCACCTCCCAAATCCCCAAATCCCCGGATCAATCCCTAGTTGATCCTAATTCCCCAAATCAACCGGTAGAGCTCTGACGTGAGTTCTATCATTTGGTATCAGAGCCACGTTCTTGGGTTCGTGAGCAAACGAAGAACGACGATCGAGATGGTGTCAACAAAGTCCATGCAAGCAGCTGAGAAGGCCGCCAATGCGGCGCAGGGGCAGGCAGCGTTCGCAGCCACCGGACCTCCGTCCACCGACGATAGCGTGCCCGAGATTCCCCGTCTGCGGATGGGGAGATGGTTGATGAGACGATTGGTGAGGAGCTTCGCACCGGTTTGACCAAAATGGCAGAGGCCGTGGAGCAGGAGCGCCAGTCTCGGGTAAAGAGTGAGCGAGCCCGGGAGGCGGAGTCGCAGAAGGTGTGGCTCGCGATCGGAGAGCTGAAGGTGATGCTGGCTGAGGCCCTGGGGCGCTCAGGAGGAGGCGGCGGCGGCGCAACCGGAGACGCGGGCTCTTCAGCGGTTGCCGCAGGGGGCGGATCCGACCAGGGCGGCGTAATCGGCGGCGAGGGTGCGGTGTCGGGAGCCGCGGGCAGCAGAGGCGGCGTGGTCGCCGAGGGAGGATTGGCGGCACAGGGGGCGGCGGCAGCCGGCCACGGCACGGAGCTTGAGGTGGCGGAGAAAGCACCGGCGGCGACCCGGGGCGCTACGCGCGAGGCGGCGGCCGAGCTCGGGCCGGGAACCGGTAGAGGCGGAGCAGGGACAGGCCCAGCGCAGGCAGGGTTAGGAGTGGGCCCGGGTCTATTACCTACACCCACGGCCCAAGAGATTGTGGGCCGAAAAGGGAAGGCCAAGATGCCCCGCTTTGACACCGACGAGCCGCCCATGAATATTGGGCCAGAACCAATGGGCCACTACACGAAGATCCATAACGGGATGGGGTGGTTGGATCTGGAAGATGGGCCCGAATATGACGAACTTATCCTGGCAGATCGACAGGCCAAGTGGGCTAAACCAGAGATGGACCAGAGGGGGCCCGGTGGGCCTAGGAGGACCGCCGACAAGATTGGGCGGGCGGGGTCGGCTCTTATGGGGCGGACCGTAGTGGGCTGGGCCGAGGCGGGTCGGACCGAGACCGGGCAAACTGGGATAGGGCGGACCGACGCTGATCGAACCGAGGTGAGCCAAATCAGGCCTGGTCGGGCCGGAGTGGGTCGACCGGAGGTGGGTCGAACCGGACATCGCCCGAGTCCGACTGCTCAGCAACCCAGAAGGATAGACAGCAGGGAATCAGCCGGCTGGGAGGGTCCGTACGGGGCACCTCACGTTCTAGGAGGGTACCCGAACCTACAAGGCAGCTACCCGGGTGACTATGGGCATGGGAATCCAAGCCGGATACAGGGCTCCTCTTTTGGGCAGCCGTGGAGGACTCCAGGAAATGACAGGTATGGGTCCCACTATATGAACTATGAAGGAATGGATGGAGTATTTTTTTGGGCTAAGCCTCCTACCATTGAGTTCCCAAAATTCAATGGACAAGAGGATGCAGGCCTTTGGTTGTATGCAGTTGAGAGATGGTTTAAAAACCACCCGATTCCGGAGGAAAGGAAGGCCTATATGGCATCGTTTTATTTGGAGGGAGATGCGCTCCAGTGGTGGGAGTGGATAGAGAGATCCTACGCCGCCGCAACAACTTTGATCACCTGGCCTATGTTTCAAGAAGAGCTCCGCTATCAGTTTGGGAAGTTATATGGGTGGGCTCCTGAGCAGTTGGCGAAGCTGAAGCAGACCGCCACGGTGGCTAAATACCGTGCGGAGTTCTTCAAGTTGGGAAACCAGTGTAAAGGAGTCTCAGAGGACACCTTGGTGGGGCTGTGCATGGCGGGTCTTAAGCCCGAGATAGCAGCGGCAGTCAGAGTGTTCGAGCCCGATTCCTTGAAAACTGATTTTTGTCTTGCAGGTCATAAGGAGGAAGAACTGGCTTGTTGGAGGAGCACCATTGGTCGCTTCTCGAAGTCGAGTGGAGGTGGAGGAAGCAGCGGGAACAGTGGCGGTTTAGGAGGGGCGCCAGTGGGAGGCTCGACTGGAGCTAACATTGGCAGTGGAGTCCCTGCGCCGGTGGCTAGGATGGGACCGCGAGCCATTCCCAAGGGGTTCGTGCGACTATCTCTGGCCGAGATCGAGCAAAAGAGGCGGGAGGGTAAATGTTTCAATTGTGATGGCCGGTTCACCATCGGTCATTAGTGCCTGAACCCGGACCTGATGATGTTAGTCGGGCGCTGGGAAGATGAGGCAGAAGATGAGGTCGAGGACGTCGAAAATGGCGAGGAGGAGACCCAGTGAGCTAGAGGAACAACCTTGGGGACAAGGTTGTTTTTCGAAGGAAGCGGGGATGATAGAAACTTGCATTTTAGTACTTAAATTAATTTTTGGTTTATTATTATTCGGATTATTGGGACTATTCGGGGATAATTGATAGATCGGGTAGTGGTAGGAAATTAGCCATTTTTATATAAACTACTTGTACGTGAGATTTATGGTGGAAGCAAGATTAAACCTAAGCCTAATCTCCCAAATTCCCTCTCCTTTTCTCTCTGGCCGCCGAGCCACCTTTCCCTCTCTTCCCTTCGGCTGCCGCAGGCAGCACTCTTCCCTTCCCCTCTTCTTTCTCGATCACCCTATTCTATTCACTTCCCAAATCCTCAAATCCCCGGATCAATCCCTAGTTGATCCTAATTCCCTAAATCAACCGGTAGAGCTCTGACGTGAGTTCTATCATAGCCACCCCAAACTCTAGAGCATTCCCATCTAGCAAGTCGTTTGGAAGCCTTTCCCTCGATTTTTTATACCGGACTCGCAACTAGTCAAGAGACCTACCGTCCTAGAACACATGATAAAGGTAACTATTATCTACCAATCTGTGAAAAGCATTAATCTAAAGCAAACCAATAACCAGCTTACCACGCTAGAATTTTGGTGCTTCACCTTATCAGCAGTGGAGCTGTTAGTTTTTGATACTTGATAACGTTTACGGGATCCCTCATTCTTCTGAGGCTTTGCCTCATCCTTAGAACTGGCAGCAGAGAGTCCCAGTACGCCCCTTGAGTGCTTTTCCCCACTTGTCGAGAAGGGTCCTGAACCTAAAGAATCGCATCAACCATTTTTGTAGCTAATGCTGATATAGTATTATTAATGGAAAACAAGAATAAAAACAATGTACAGTGAAACTAAAAAAACAACAGCAGCAGCATCAACTACAGACGTCCAATCAGGTGCTTTGGGGGGGGGGGGCAACTGAAGATGGAAATGAAAACGTCATCTACACCTTTCCATTGCTCATTGCGCCCAAGAATCAGTCAAAACACCAAACACCTTAGTTGAAACAAGAAAAAATCTCAAATCTGCAGCTTTAGACTGCAGCCCCTGCTTCTGATTGAAAATGGCCATCAAGCACCTGCCCTTCTGATGGTCTTTGCGTCCGTGATTAGATGAAAACGTCTTACTTCAACAACCCTCTTTGCGACAATGGATCATCCAAAACTCCTAAACTAAACCATGATATAATCACTACACAACAACTTTCTACCGCAAGATATGCTTTAAACATGAAATTGGTTCTCCAGCCCTTATTTCCAAGGGTTCAAACTGTTCTTACTGACTTCAATTCTGCTTCTATCTCCTTAACAAAATCACCACAACTAGCCTTCATTAGGTCTGGGCCGGGTTCTATTCTTGACACTTGCCAACCAGTTTTCTACATCTCTCCTATCCACCTAAAACAAGAACCCTAGAAACTGAACCAAGAGCAACGAAAGGCTACCTGAGAAATAGCGTCGAAAATTCCTGCACGCAAGGCTGGAGCCAAAGACAACAAAGCGGACCATTTCCCCACTGCTCCAGGAGCCCAAGACTTCTCGCCCGGAGACTTTTGAACCTAAAGAATCGCATCAACCATTGTGAAGATTTAATCCCAAGAATAAACCTAAAACAAGAACCCTAAGAACTGAACAACTGCAAGAAAAGCTACCTCGGAGTTGTTTGATTGGTAGCGGAGTTCACAGCCAAAGATTCTTGTACTCGTGAGGATCTGGTCTATTTGATTAGTAGAGGAGTTCACAGCCAAAGACAACGGAGCGGACGACTTCCCGCCAGGAGCCGAAGACTTCTCGCCCCGAGCAGACATAGGAGCAGAAGAGTTACCGGCCGGAGCAGACATAGGAACCGAAGAGTACCGCCCGGAACAGACATTGGAGCCGTAGAGTTTAGCGCCCGAGATCGAAGCCATGGAGTTTAGAGCCAGATATCGAAGCTAACTCGGTAGAAGACGAAGGAGGAATGGCGAGTTTCTTCCTTCGTTTTAGTCGGAACGTCGGTTTGGATAGCAAGAGGGAAGGCGGGATGGGATTGTTATTAGGAAAAATGAGAGACCCGCGAAAAGAAATGGAATTTGCTAATTTCTTGTTCTTATACACTCTGTTCAGGAAGGAGGGAAAGGGGAGGGAGGTTAGGTAAACACACATTCCAATGAGCTTTCCATTGTTTTTTTAGCTAGCTACAGTTGGTAAGGAAAGAAAGTGAGAAGGAAAATTCACTATTTCCTCTACACCTCCGATTTGGACGGAAAAGAGAATTGAATAGTGTCTAATTTCTAATGGCCCATCTTTTTAACCCATGGCCCACCAAACTATCTTTCTGCGTGTCCACTCCAACTCCCAACTCCATTTTCACTTTCTTTATTTTATTTCCTCCTTGATTTCTTTCTCTTTTAATTAGTCTCATTTTCACTTGATCAATTAATGATAGTAAGTAATACGAATAGGAGTAAGTGATGTTGTCATTAATTTTGGTCTTTATACTTTTCATATTATTTTGTTCTTTTAAACATAATTTTGCATTGTGTGGGATATCATATCGACGGCTTGACAGAAAAAACTATTGTTCTATCATATTTCATCGGACCAACCGACATTTTGGATCGGATGACACCAAATGGATGATTTACGTCACGTGTTACTATTTTGGGTCTGATATCCGATATTTCTGTTCCGGTCGGTACGGTTTTGTTTTTCAAACATTGTATAATATGAACATACAATCAAATTATTTTACTATTGCATAACTAATAAAATAACAGATTCATCACACTTCCCAATACACACTTTCCTTCCCACTTTCTTCCATAAAACAACATTTTCCTCCCAATTTCCTTCACCTCCAAATCTTCCCTCCCCTCCTAATTTTCCTTCACCTCCCCTACTTTTCTTCCCTTCCTTCGGAAACATAGTGATAAGGAATTGCACCTAAGGCTACCACCTACCACTGAATAGGGCGATCCTTGGCTATTGTTTGGGTTGCATGCAGCTTATTGGAACTACCCATTAACATGGGATCAAATTATTCATTCGAACTTAGATTACCCAATTCGTGCTTCCACCATTGCTGCTCCCGCTCTAAATTGCGAAAACGCAATTTTGTCCTAGTTCACTATTAGTCGGAACGTCGGTTTGGATAGCAAGAGGGAAGGCGGGACGGGATTGTTATTAGGAAGAATGAGAGACCTGCGAAAAGAAAAAGGAATTTGCTAATTTCTTGTTCATATACACTCTGTTCAGGAAGGAGGGAAAGGAAGGAAAGAGGAGGGAGGTTAGGAAAAGTGGAAAACACACATTCCAATGAGCTTTCCATTGTTTTTTTAGCTAGCTACAGTTGGTAAGGAAAGAAAGTGAGAAGGAAAATTCACTATTACCTCCACTCCTCCGATTTGGGCGGAAAATAGAATTGAAGAGTGTCTAATATCTAATAGAACATCTTTTTAACTCATGGCCCACCAAGCTATCTTTCTGCGTGTCCACTCCAACTCCCAACTCCATTTTCACTTTCTTTATTTTATTTCCTTCTTAATTTTTTCTCTTTTTATTAGTCTCATTTTTACTTGATCAATTTATAATAGTAAGTAATACGAATATGATTAAGTGATGTTGTCATTAATTTTGGTCTTTATACTTTTCATATTATTTTGTTCTTTTAAACATAATTTCGCATTGTGTGGGATATCATATCGATGGCTTGACAGAAAAAACTATTATCAGATTCTAAACGGATAATAACAATTGTTCTACCATATTGCATTAGACCAACCGACGTTTTGGATCGAATGACACCAAATGGATGATTTACGTCACGTGTTACTATTTTGTGTCTGATATTCGATATTTCTGGTCCAGCCGGTACAGTTGTGTTTTTTAAACATTGTATAATATAAACATACAATCAAATTATTTTACTATTACATAACCAATAAAATAACAGATTCATCACACTTTCCTTCCCACTTTCTTCCATAAAACAACATTTTCCACCCAATTTCCTTTATCTCCAAATCTCCCCTCCCCTCCTAATTTTCCTTCACCTCCCCTCCCTTTCTTCCCTTCCTTCGGAAACATAGTGATAAAGAATTGAACCTAAGGCTACCACCTACCAGTGAATAGGGCGATCATTGGTTGTTGTTTGGGTTGCATGCAGCCAATTGGAACTACCCATTAACATGGCATCAAATTATTCTTTCGAACTTAGATAACCTAATTCGTGCTTCCACCATTGTTGCTCCCGCTCTAAAATGCGAAAACGCAATTTTGTCCTAGTTCACATTAGTTCGCGAATTATATTTTCCAAGAGCGCGAATTATATTTCAAGGAGCGTGAATTGTCCACATCGGCAGGGAGAAGCCAAAAGCCGCAACGGTTGGGCTCGGCGGTGACGTCTAGGTTGACTAGAGAAACAGAGGGGGGCTTAAGCAGAGAGGCTTGGATAAAATCATTGGCTCCGCTAAAGCTTCTAGCTCTTGTGGATCGCCTGCTAATATGGAGCAATTTCTTTTGGGCGTGGTCGGTGTCAAAACCAGGAACACATCGATGATTTCATAATAAGCAGATGAGAGGAAGAAGGTGAAGTGGATGCGCGACTGTTTGGAAGATGGAAGCTTGGGTTTTGGATTAGAACTCGATGATTGAAATTGATCTCTATCAATTTGACGGCTGCATGTTGATATCGGGGTTAATTGCACATGATATCATATAAGTTTGGCTTTCGTTGCATACTAATCATGTAAATTCTTTTAGTTGCAACTAAATCACACAAATTGAGTTTCGCTTGAATCGTTATATTTTATGTTTATATACCTAACGGCAGGTACCAAATTGCGATTCTCCATGATATGCAAGCACTCCAGCTCAACCAAATTGTTGAGTAAGATGATCCATTAAATCCGCACGGGCCCACATGTTGACATATTTCTTTTACGAAAAATGAAAGAGTGGCTTTGCTTATTTAAACAATTGATCTTTCTAAACAAAACCAGCAACTCCTTGCTTAAAAGGAAGAAGAAGAAGAAGAAGAAAAAGCTTAAAACGAAGAAGAAGAAGAAGAAGAAGAAGAAGAAACCAGCATAAAGGATTTACATTTTCCACCCAAGTCAGAGCAAAACAGAGGAACTGTGTCCACTTATAAAAAAAATACCCATCTGAAGGTAAAAGCTAAAGAGACCGAGAATCAGCCAAAACACCAAACACCTTAGTTGAAACAAGAAAAAATCTCAAATCTTCAGCTATAGACTGCAGCCCCTGCTTCTGATTGAAAATGGCCATCAAGCACCTGCCCTTCTGATTGTCTTTGCGTTCGTGATTAGATGAAAACGTCTTACTTTAGAAACCCTCTTTGCGATAATGAATCATCCAAAACGCCTAAACTAAACCATGATATAATCACTACTCAGCAACTTTATACAGCAGCCACTGCTTTGAACATGAAACTGGTTCTCCAGCCCTTATTTCCAAGGGTTCAAACTGTTCTTACTTATTTCAATTCTGCTTCTATCTCCTTAACAATATCACCACAACTAGGCTTCATTAGGTCTGGGTCGGGTTCTATTCTTGACACTTGCCAACCAGTTTTCTGCATCTTTCCTATCCACCTAAAACAAGAACCCTAGAAACTAAACCAAGAGCAACGAAAAGCCACCTGAGAAATAGCGTCGAAAATTCCTACACGCAAGGTTGGAGCCGAAGACAACGGAGCGGACGACTTCCCCACTGCTCCAGGAGCCCAAGACTTCTCGCCCGGAGACTTTTGAATCTAAATAATCGCATCAACCATTATGAAGATTTAATCCCTAGACTAAACCTAAAACAAGAACCCTAAGAACTGAACCACTGCAAGAAAAGCTACCTTAGAGCTGTTTGATTGGAAGCGGAGTTCACAGCCAAAGATTCTTGTACTCGTGAGGATCTGGTATATTTTATTAGTAGCGGAGTTCACAGCCAAAGACAACGAAGCAGACGACTTCCCGCCAGGAGCCGAAGACTTCTCGCTCTGAGCAGGCATAGGAGCAGAAGAGTTACTGCCCGGAGCAGACATAGGAGCCGAAGACTTCTCGCCCTGAGCAGACATAGGAGCAGAAGAGTTACTGCCCGGAGCAGACATAGGAGCCGAAGAGTTACCGCCCGGAACAGACATCGGGGCCGCAGAGTTTAGCGCCAGAGATCGGAGCCGCAAAGTTTAGAGCCAGAGATCAGAGCTAACTCAGTAGAAGACGGACGATGAATGGCGAGTTTCTTCCTTCGTTTTAGTCGGAACGTCGGTTTAGATAGCAAGAGGGAAGGCAAGACGGGATTGTTATTTGGAAGAATGAGAGACCTGCGAAAAGAAAAAGTAATTTGCTAATTTCTTGTTCTTATACACTGTGTTCAGGAAAGAGGGAAAGGAAAGGAAAGGGAAGGGAGGTTAGGGAAACACACATTCCAATGAGCTTTCCATTGTTTTTTTAGCTAGCTACAGTTGGGAAGGAAAGAAAATGAGAAGGAAAATTCACTATTTCCTCCACTCCTCCGATTTGGACGGAAAAGAGAATTAAAGAGTGTCTAATTTCAAATAGCCCATCTTTTTAACCCATGGCCCACCAAGCTATCTTTCTGTGTGTCCACTCCAACTCCCAACTCCATTTTCACTTTCTTTATTTTATTATCTTCTTAATTTCTTTCTCTTTTAATTAGTCACATTTTCACTTAATCAATTAATGATAGTAAGTAATACGAATAGGAGTAAGTGATGTTGTCATTAATTTTGGTCTTTATACTTTTCATATTATTTTGTTCTTTTAAACATCATTTCGCATTGTGTGGGATATCATATCGACGGCTTGACAGAAAAAAATATTATCAGAGTCTAAACGGATAATAACAATTGTTTTACCATATTGCATCGGACCAACCGACGTTTTGGATCGGATGACAGCAAATGGATGATTTACGTCACGTGTTACTATTTTGGGTATGATATTCGATATTTCTGGTCCGGCCAGTACGGTTGTGTTTTTTAAACATTGTATAATATGAACATACAATCAAATTATTTTGCTATTGCATAACCAATAAAATAACAGATTCATCACACTTCCCTATACACACTTTCCTTCCCACTTTCTTCCATAAAAAAACATTTTCCTTCCAATTTCCTTCACATCCAAATCTCCCCTCCCCTCCTAATTTTCCTTCACCTCCCCTCCTTTTCTTCCGTTCCTTCAGAAACATAGTGATAAAGAATTGCACCTAAGGCTACCACCTACCAGTGAATAGGGCGATCCTTGGCTGTTGTTTGGGTTGCATGCAGCCAATTGGAACTACCCATTAACATGTTATCAAATTATTCGTTTGAACTTAGATTACCCAATTCGTGCTTCCAACATTGCTGCACCCGCTCTAAAATGTGAAAACACAATTTTGTCCTAGTTCACTATTAGTCGGAATGTCGGTTTGGATAGCAAGAGGGAAGGCGGGACAGGATTGTTATTAGGAAGAATGAGAGACCTGCGAAAAGACAAAGAAATTTGCTAATTTCTTTTTCTTATACACTCTGTTCATGAAAGAGGGAAAGGGGAGGGAGGTAGAGATACACACATTCCAATGAGCTTTCCATTGTTTTTTTAGCTAGCTACAAATGGTAAGGAAAGAAAATGAGAAGAAAAATTCACTATTTCCTCCACTCCTCTGATTTGGGATGAAAAGAGAATTGAAGAGTGTCTAATTTCTAATAGCCATCTTTTTAACCCATGGCCCACCAAGCTATATTTCTGCTGTCCACTCCAAATCACAACTCCATTTTCACTTTCTTTATTTTATTTCCTTCTTAATTTCTTTCTCTTTTAATTAGTCTCATTTTTACTTGATCAATTAAGGATAGTAAGTAATACGAATAGGAGTAAGTGATGTTGTCATTAATTTTGGTCTTTATACTTTTCATATTATTTTGTTCTTTTAAACATAATTTCGCATTGTGTGGGATATCATATCGACGGCTTGACAGAAAAAACTATTATCAGTGTCTAAACGGATAATAACAATTGTTCTATCATATTGCATCGGACCAACCGACGTTTTGGATCGAATGACGCCAAATGGATGATTTACGTCAGGTGTTACTATTTTGGGTCTGATATTCGATATTTCTAGTCCGGCCGGTACGGTTGTGTTTTTTAAACATTGTATAATATGAACATACAATCAAATTATTTTACTATTGCATAACCAATAAAATAACAGATTCATCACACTTCCCAATACACACTTCCCACTTTCTTCCATAAAACAACATTTTCCTCCCAATTTCCTTCACCTCCAAATCTCCCCTCCCCTCCTAATTTTCCTTCACCTCCCCTCCATTTCATCCCTTCCTTCGGAAACATAGTGATAAAGAATTGCACCTAAGGCTACCACCTACCAGTGAATAGGGCGATCCTTGGCTGTTGTTTGGGTTGCATGCAGCCAATTGGAACTAACCATTAACATGGCAGCAAATTATTCGTTTGAACTTAGATTACCCAATTCGTGCTTCCACCATTGCTGCTCCCGCTCTAAAATGCGAAAACGCAATTTTGTCCTAGTTCACTATTAGTCGGAACATCGGTTTGGATAGCAAGAGAGAAGGCGGGACAGGATGGTTATTAGAAAGAATGAGAGACCTGAGAAAAGACAAAGGAATTTGCTAATTTCTTTTTCTTATACACTCTGTTCAGGAAGGCGGGAAAGGGGAGGGAGGTAGGGAAACGCACATTCCAATGAGCTTTCCATTGTTTTTTTAGCTAGCTACAGTTGGTAAGGAAAGAAAGTGAGAAGGAAAATTCACTATTTCCTCCACTCCTCTGATTTGGGCGGAAAAGAGAATTGAAGAGTGTCTAATTTCTAATAGCCATCTTTTTAACCCATGGCCCACCAAGCTATCTTTCTGCGTGTCCACTCCAACTCTCAACTCCATTTTCACTTTCTTAATTTTATTTCCTTCTTAATTTCTTTCTCTTTTAATTAGTCTCATTTTTACTTGATCAATTAATGATAGTAAGTAATACGAATAGGAGTAAGTGATGTTGTCATTAATTTTGGTCTTTATACTTTTCATATTATTTTGTCCTTATAATCATAATTTCCCATTGTGTGGGATATCATATCGACGGCTTGACAGAAAAAAACTATTATCAGAGTCTAAACGGATAATTACAATTGTTCTACCATATTGCATCGGACCAACCGACGTTTTGGATCGAATGACGCCAAATGGATGATTTACGTCACGTGTTACTATTTTGGGTCTGATATTCGATATTTCTGGTCAAGCTGGTACGGTTGTGTTTTTTAAACATTGTATAATATGAACATACAATCATATTATTTTACTATGACATAACCAATAAAATAACAGATTCATCACACTTCCCAATACACACTTTTCTTCCCACTTTCTTCCATAAAACAACATTTTCCTCCCAATTTCCTTCACCTCCAAATCTCCCCTCCCCTCCTAATTTTCCATCACCTCCCCTCCTTTTCTTCCCTTCCTTCGGAAACATAGTGATAAAGAATTGCACCTAAGGCTACCACCTACCAGTGAATAGGGCGATCCTTGGCTGTTGTTTGGGTTGCATGCATTGGAACTACCCATTAACATGGCATCAAATTATTCGTTCGAATTTTGATTACCTAATTCGTGCTTCCACCATTGTTGCTCTCGCTCTAAAATGCGAAAACGCAATTTTGTCCTAGTTCACTAGTAGTTCGCGAATTATATTTTCCAAGAGCGCGAATTATTTTTCAAGGAGCGTGAATTGTCCACATCGGCAGGGAGAAGCCAAAAGGCGCAACAGTTGGGCTCGACGGTCGCTCGGTTGACTAGAGAAACAGAGAGGGGCTTAAGCAGAGAGGCTTGGATAAAATCATGGGATTTTTCCAGAAATAGCACCTTTTAAAAAAAATTTACAAAAATAGCACCCATCCGAAAAAATTTACACTAATAGCACATTTTTTAATGGACCGCACCTTAGAGGTGCGTTTTATACATAAAACGCACCTCTGTTGCGTTCCCTATTTCTGGACCAAAACCGCATTTTGGCCAAGCGGTTTTAGGTCTGACCTACAGAAACCGCTTGGCCGAGGTGCGGTTTTGGCCTGACCTATTAAAACCGCATCATGAAGGTGCGGTTTGTTTCTCCCAAACAAAACTGCACCTTCATGGTGCGATTTTGCCATACAAATCGCACCTTGGAGGTGTGGTTTTGGTCAATCAATTTCCGACATACCATGTAGACGTAACAGACGTGGGTCTGCTTGGGCCTGCATGGCAGAAGAAAACCGCACCTCTAAGGTGCGGTTTTCATCAGTAATTTTGCCTATAAAAGGCCTCCCGGACAACCACTTCTCTTCACACCTCTCCTTCTCCCTTTTCAATTTTCTGTTGTAGCTCTATATTTCTTTAGTAGTTTTGCGATTAACGTTAACTCGTAAGTTTATTTAGTATTACTTTTTATTTTTATTTTTTATTTTTGATTTTTATAATATTAACTGAACTACGGTTTTATCGCAGATGGCATTCAAAAAGTTCACGCTTGGCTTACGGTGGAATGGTTACATGGAAGAGACCGGAAAGGGGGTCACCTACGTACGTGGCAATTTTCAGAAGATAAAGGTCGCTACCAGACCGCTGCTTGAAGACCTCCATCAAATATGCACTAACGTTACTTGCATGGATGGCACGAGAAGAGTTGATCGTATGGTGTACCGATATCCAAACAGAGAAAGTGGGTCATTGTGGCATGAGGAATGAACCCAACCGGGCATACCGTCACAATCCTCGGGGGGATGATCACTCATGCACACCGGTTGGCCGTCGATGGGCAGATGGGTTAGGATGGCGACATCCTTTAGCGTGATGGTGGCCTCGCCTTCTCTAAAGTTGAAACAATGGGTCTCCTTTCTCCATCTCTCAACTAATGCGGTGATGAGTTGGCCATCAACTTTGATGCCGTTAAAATGCCTAATCGGGTCCAACCGTGCCCTTTTGAGAAAGGGCAACTTAGCTGGGTGGAATGGGAGCACATTGGTCGTACCCCTGTAGCGGATTATTGTTTGTGCCTCCTAGGGAAAATTTACACGTTAATTATTATATATTAGTAAGGGTTTATTCCTAATAACTAAATTAATTAAATTAAATTATTTAACTTCAAGCAGAATTTTATTATCATAAAAAGACATTTCATATAATTAACATAATAACATTCTAAATTAATAATAATTTAAAGAGATACATACATA